CAAGAAGCTTCTTCAATTCAGTTCTTCTCATCCAAGAAGCTTCTTCAGTTCAGAACTGATGGAACATTTATTTGTATCTAGGACAAACAAAGTCCAGTTGCCTTTTGAAAAAGCATCTTTGCGACAACCATGACCTGGATGATGGAGAATCTCCATAGACATCATGGATTCTTGCCTTGCATTTGTTTGATCTGCTAAGGAACATCTTAGTTTTTTTGTAATTGGCATAATTTCACAAAGTGTTTGTTTTGTCTCGCCACAGCATATCCATGGAAAGTTCAGTCACAGGAACCCATGATGAGCTTCTTCAAGTCCTCAAAGAGAAGATGAGGCTCGAAGGACAATTGGAGGCACTGTCATTAGAAGCCAATGAGGTACAAAAGGATCTTCTATTGAAAAACTCATTCTCCAGTGTCAAGAGAAGCATATCACTGCTCCATAGGTTCAAGGATGGGTTATGGAATGTATCGGGTATCTGTGGAAGGTGGGTGGCATTTCAGGTCACTGTTGATAGACCTAGTCTTATCTGCAGATCTCAGAAGTTCTTGAGATGGTAGGATCTTAGACTGGGAAGAGGCCATTTAAGCCACAGGGTTCCATTTGCTTCCAGGTGCAGGAATCCCAATGAAAGCATTCCCAGGAGACCGGAGTTTGGCCTCTGTTCTTCCTAGAGAGTGAATATGAAAATAATATGGGGTGGTTTGTGATCTTGATGGCGGTTGGGGGTTGTTATCTACATCTACCATCCATCTGTAAAAATTCCTTCTGAAGAGGTGCCATGGACAAGAGGTTTGGTCTTGTGTCCAAAACATGGAAGGTATTATAGAAGGTTTTGAAGGCCTACCTCAACCCAGTCTCGATGATGACACCTCTGTCACTGCCTTGTGTTGACACCAGATTTATCTTTGTGTAGGCCCTCAAAGAAAAAGCAGAATTGCAAGCCCAGCTGGCTGCGGTCCAGATGAAACTCCAAACCCTCATGGAACATTCAGAGACCAGCCAGCAGAAACAGGACTCCCTCAATTCAGAGGTGGCTACCTTGAAGCAGTCCTGCTGGGAGCTGGAGCGTGCCATGGCTGAGTTACAAACCACCTTGGAGGCCAAGAATGCTGGCTTGGTTGCTTCCCACAATGACCTGCAGTTGGCGGAAGAACAGTACCAGAGGCTGATGGGGAAGGTGGAGGACTTGCAGAAAAATGTCCTCGGCAAGGATAGCATGGGTGAGTAGGACCAAGCCAAGTGCCTTCAGTGCATCTGCTCTTGCGTGAGGATCCTACAAAGCGTCAAGTCCCAAATAGATTGATTGTAAACCTGACCGCAGGCCGCCTTCTTTGTGAGTCTGTACTGAAGAGAGAAATCAGAAAGATCATAAAATCATTCTGATCCATCCTTGCTTAATTATCATGTCTTTGGTAGGTGGTTGTCAAGATTCCAGCAGTTACCCCAATGACAGCATGAGTCTCGAGCCAAACTTCCAAAACTAAACAGGATTTATTGGGAGTTAACATGTCGGCACTACCTGGGTGTAGCTGACTCAGACATGTAATTCATTGTCATCCTTGATCCTGGTTTTCCCCCCAACCCCTCTGGGTATATCATAATTCATATTCTCCAATGAAACATCTCCAATAGCCAAGAGTCATCAATCATGTTCTCCAGTTAGATTTTTGGGTGGCAGAAACTTCAGTCACCTAGTTACAATCCCTGAAAAACTATGCATGGAATGCACTTTTGATTTCCAAGCTGCCGCACTGCTCTTTCAAACCCCTTTTCCCTCTCTCTTTCTGTTGGCAACTATAAAAACAGCCATAGAAATGTTTTATGAGTTGACAGTGGTAAGATGAAGAACTTTGTCAGGGTTCCAAGTAATACGCCCGTAGTAAGTAGAACTCCGAGGCAACTAGGTTCCTCAAAGAACAGGTTTTATTAGACATATATAAGCGCAGACTGGTGAAAACCGACTCTGAATTTTCCCACAGTTTTAACCTAATTAAAAGTACTGTAAAAGTTATTCCCCCTTTCCCTGACAGTAAGTCACATGGTCCAATCAAGATGCTGTCTGGTTGCTTGGAAACTTCACTCCTCCTCTTTTCAGCCACCTGTGGGGGAATGTCCTTGGTTCTCAGGGGAAACTATTTTGTTTTGGCTACAAAACCCCAGCTAACTCTATTCCCCTCCTCCCGATCCCTCAGCACCATTGTGGCCCACACTGAAGCCTCCAAGGTGGCCTCAGTCAGGCCAGCTTCAGAGTGGACAGACTTCCTGTGAAGGTCCCAAAGATACCTTCTCCAAAAGGCCACTGAATCTGAGGATGCACATAACCCACCACATGGTCTCAATGATTCTCTGAGATCCTCAGGGAGGGTTGGAAGGATGCTAACAACCGGTTGACTGCAAAACACATAAATCCTTCCATTCCCCACCAGTCAGCTAGACCTGAGGAAGCTTCTTGGATGAGAAGCGAAACGTTTTCAGCGGAGGGAAAAAAAACAAACCAAGAAAGTCCACTGGCCTTTTGGAAAAGGCTTTTTGGGACAACCATGAGATGTGGATGATTGAGAATCTCCATAGACATTTCCAGTGGAGTTAGCTTCATGATCGTGGAGTTATCTTCTAAGAGAAGTCAATTTAAGAGCTTCCTTGTGCTTTGACGGCCTGTTCCCATTCCATCAGATGTCGTATGATTTATTTTAAACTTTTCCCCGGCTGTGGTTTTGAAACATACACTCCTTGATTGGCCAAATATTTCATTTCCTCTTCAATTAGCTATCCCGGATTTTTCAAAAGAAGGAATAAATCAGGTCTTCGTTGCTGTTGGGCAGCTACAGACGGAGTTTCCTAACTCTATCCTTCCTTTATTTACATTTTTTTCACCCTGGCCTTTTAGTTCATGATCTCCGGCAGCAGCTCTCCTCATTACAAAGCCAACTCCAGCAAGTGGAGCTGGACCGCACGTCCTTGACCGGTAAGCTGAAGTCATCACAGGCAGAGATCTCATCCCTTCAGAAAGTTCGGCATTGGTACCAACAACAGTTGACTGTGGCTCAACAAGCAAGGATTCGTCTGCAGAGCGATATGGCCAACATAAAGGCAAGCGCAGTTTTCTTTCCTCCTGTTCCCATTCAGTACCCAGACCTCATTTCCCTCATGTGAGGTATTACCGTGTCAATTCAATAGATCCGAAGGGAGATTGGCTGACTGTGGTTTCAAACGGGGGTGATAATCGCTGTTTTCAATGGGAAACAATTTTCTCTCGATGTGATGGGATGCAACCAGGAGGTGGAGGGAGGGGCTGGATTCAACCTGGGAGAAAGTAGGTGAAGACGGTCTCTTCCTAACAGTTCCCAGATTGTATTGTAGATGCCTATAGTTCAACCTGGCAAGAGTCTGTCTATAGGTGTTAAAACAATAGAAGAACTCAACTTGGAAGAATCACCGCATGTCATTCTGGGTTCGGGTCGTGACACATGTTTGACTGTGAGCAAACCAGTTGTAGACCAGTAAGACTCTAGAAAGAGTGCAGAGAAGAGCAACCAGGGTGATTAGGGGACTGGAGGCTAAAACATACAATGGACGGTTGCAGGAACTGGGCCTGGCTAGTCTAGGGAAGAGAAGGACCAGGGGAGACAGGAGAGCATCTTCCAATATTTGAGGGGCTGCCACACAGAGGAGGAAGGGGTCAAGTTACTTTCCAAGGCACCCGAAGGCTGGACAAGGAACAATGGATGGAAACTGAACTAGGAGAGATTCAACCTGGAAATAAGGAGGAATTTTCTGACAGTAACAATCCATCAATGGAACAAACGTTGCCTTCAGAAGTTGTGGGAGCTTCATCACTAGAAGCTTTCAAGAAGAGACTGGACTGCCATCTGTCAGAAATGGTGTAGGGTCTCCTGCTTGGGCGAGGGATTAGACTAGATGACCTACAAGGTCCCTTCCAACTTTGTTAATCTGTCTGTAGAGTCTTCCGTAGCTGCCCCAATGAAGGCTATTCTTATTCCTCGTTCATTTATTTACGGTAATTGGTTTATATGGCCATCTATTCATGTCACAATGGCATCTCACTTAGGCAGCTAACTCCAGGCAAACTCACAATGATATAAAAATGCATGACAGTAGCTGAAAGCAACACCAGTCAGCGATAAATGGTTGCTTTGAGTCTCTTCGTAAGGCCATCAGAGGCACAAATTACAAGCCTTTTAATCTAAAGAAAAGAAGGCCACAAAGTTTTAACTCTTAATAGCTGGGAATTGATTTCTTCAGATGTCTCTAAATGCAGTCCTTTCTCTCATTCCACTCTTTTTCCCCCCCCCAGGCTGGACAGATGACTCAAGTTGGCCTGTTGGAACATCTGAAGTTAGAGAACGTAACCCTGTCTCATCAATTAACGGAGACGCAGCATAGATCGATCAAAGAGAAGGAACGCATCGCTGCGCAGCTGCAAAACATTGAGGTAACGATGGCAGAGGTTTCTCTATGCCATACACGTTTTCTGAACGAGGCCTATTTGATTGACAGTCCCGTAAACCTATATTAATGGGTAAGGAATCAGTTCTCTGGAATATCCCAGTCTTTAAACATTTTATTAGAGTCTAGGATAAAATAGAAAAACACAAAAACAACTAATAGGACACATGGAGAGGGGAAGGAGAAAGGAAACTGAGGAGGAAAGGGAAAAGAAAAAGGCATAGATGTCCGACTCACTTTGTTGTAGTAAAGCATTAACCTCGAATCTCAACTTTTTACTTTTCCACAATAATACAAACTAGCCATTTCTATAACAACAAATCAATCTAATCAGTAAAACCCAAAATCAAGGTTTCATTTTTTTCCCCCACCCCAAGCACAAAGTCCAGAAACGGTTTCCAGGTAGAAATAAAAGTACTGATATTCTTTTCTTTGATCAAAACGGTCAATTTAACCATCTCTGCCGTCAACTTCTGTAGCCATTCATCTTGAAATGTCCTTCCACTTTTGTGCATACAGACATTTTGCTGCCATCAACATATATTATAAGATCAAAGTTCCAAATCCCCCCCCCCCCGTCTCTTTCCATTAACCCCAAAAGAAAGATTTCTGGTTTTATCTTGATCTTTCTTTTAAGAATTTTTGGCATTCAAAAATATGACTCTTATGCCAAAATTTCTCAGGAATGTGCATCTCATTTTGAAATGCTATTTCTGGCCTCTGCTGCTAGGCCAACATCTGAAGGACTTTAGTTCAGTTACTTTTTAAAAAAATCAAAACCAGAAGCTCATTTGTCCATGCAGACATGGATAAACGCGTAAACTTAACAAATCTTGTGTGGATTCAGGTAGTCCTAGGCTTATGACCACAATCGGAACCAGAATTTATCGCTGTAAGCAAGATAGTTGTTCAATGAGTCATGATGCCTTTTGTCAAGATCGTTGTAACTTCATTTTCTAGACAAATGGTTGTAAGTCGAGGAGTTACCTGTAATTAATGCTGTGATTTTATATATTGGTATCAAAGGAAGCATGTTTAACACTAAGCCCCTCACTTGGATCTAACGGCAAGGTGCAGTTAACCCAAAAGTGCTTTTTCAGGAGGCAAATTTCTTTTTTTTCCTTTCGAAGACGTTTCATTTCTCATCCAAGAAGCTTCTTCAGCTCTGACTGGACAGTGAGGAATGGAAGGATTTATACTCCTTGCAGACAGCTGGTCATTTGCATCCTTTTAGAGGGTTGTTGGAGGCCACTTGGAGGTTTGTCTGTGTCCTCAGGGTCACCCGAGTAGTGCTTCTGGTTCCTGTAGCCTGCAGTTTTTCCCTCTGGAAATCCATTCCTACTCCCACACCATTCCAAGGGTGTTCATCCCAAATTGTATAGCTGAAAGTCTGACTGAGAATCTCTACAAAGGTGGAGTTAACTGCATGCATACGGTTCCTGTTTCTCAGCATCGCCTTGGCAGCTGTTACCACCATTTTAACAACTTCTGATGCTTCTGCACAGGCCGACATGTTAGACCAGGAAGCAGCCTTTCTGCAGATCCAGGAGGCTAAGGGTATGGTAGAAGACGACTTGCAGAGGAAGCTGGAGGAATTTGAGGAAGAGAAAGAACAGCTTCAGAAGATGGCTGATTCAGCGGCAGCGTTGGAGCAGGAGCTAGAAAAGGTACAAAAGTTTTGTGCATTGTATTGCAGCCAAAGATATGGGACTCTTGTGTAAAGGTTGAGGTTGATTCCTGTGGTGGAATGTAGTCTGGATTCCCAGGAGGGAGGGGCTGTGTGCCAGAGGAGTTAAGCGGCAACTCAGTTCACATAGCTTGTGTCTGAGAAAGAGGGTGAAGACGGCTCCTCGTCAACAGTTCCCAGAATATATGCTTATGGGGATGGTTGTTGTTATTGTTGTTAGTCGCAAAGTCGTGTCTGACCCATTGCGACCTCATGGACAACGTTCCTCCAGGCCTTCCTGTCCTCTACCAGCCCCTGGAGTCCATTGAAGCTCACCCCTACTGCTTCAGTGACTCCATCCAGCCACCTCCTCCTCTGCTGTCCCTTTCTTCTTTTGCCCTCAAATCGTTCCCAGCGTTAGGCTCTTCTCCAGTGAGTCGGGAACGGTGAGTATGGGGACGGTTGTTTGCTTTAATCTGGCAAGATTCTGTCAGTAGGTGAGGAACAACAGCAAAATTCTGCTTGGAAGAATCATTATGTGCCTTTCTTGGGTTTTGGAAGCTGACAACTCTTGAGTTAAGAGTCTATGGAGATTCTCAGTCATCCAGGTCATGGTTGTCCCAAAGCTGCTTTTTCAAGAGACAACTGGACTTCCTTGTTATTTTTTGAAGACGTTTTGCTTCTCATCTAAGAAGCTTCTTCAGAGCTGAAGAAGCTACTTAGATGACAAGCAAAACGTCTTCAAAGAATAACAAGGGAGTCCAGTTGCCTCTTGAAACAGAACCTTTGGGACATCTTAAGTTAAGAGTTAAGGCCAGGTGGAAGGATGCCTTCTTTTACCTTGAGAGGAGATCACGGTGAGGGTGAACTTCTTCGTGTTCTTGGCTCAGGTCAAGCTAACGCTTCAACAGCGAGATGTTCAGGTGGAGACTCTGCAGCAGGAGCAGCTGGACCTCATGAGACAATTGACCTCCACCCAAGAGACGTTACAGACCCGAGACCAAACCGTGGGGGAGCTTCAGGTGCGCTACGACGAACTGGAGGCCAGGTTGGCTGAACTGCAAGGAGAGGCTGCCTCGAAGGACGACTCCATCCGCTATTTGCAGAACGAGAAGATCGTCTTGGAAGTTGCCCTGCAGGTGGCAAAGGCGGGGCAAGAAGGACTCGAAGAGTCCATCCAGCATTTGGGAGGCCACACCAAGGAGGCCTCAGATGTTCTGGACCAGCTCAAGCAAGAAATAGCCATCAAATCAAGTCAGGTATAATTTCCCATATTTAACCATCCCTTTTTCCTTGCTGTTCTTCAGTGATGGGATTCAAAAATTTTTACTACTGGTTCTGTAGGCGTGGCTTGGTGGGCGTGGCTTAGTGGGTGTGGTAGGGGAAGGATATACTGCAAAATCCCCATTCCCTCCCCACCCCACTAACCTGCTTTCCAGCTCCGTTCTCCTGGGCAGGGCAACCAAAGAAGACCCAGCTAATCAGCTGGGACTCAATGGGAGGCAGAGAATAGATGGGGTTGGTGGGGCCAGTCAGATTTGCCGGTTCTCCAAACTACTCAAAATTTCCACTATCGGTTCTCCAGAACCCGGTCAGCCAAAACTTTCACTTCTTATCTTCCTCCTGCACGTTTTTTTCCGATTGAGTTCTTCTTTGAGGTGGCCATTTCTGACCACTGCTCCTACCGCCTTCGGGAAAGGGAGTTTGGCCAGCTGAGGAGGAGAGATGCGGCTCTCCTCGACCCTGCTGGCGGTCTCCCCCCTCTTCACCACCTCTACGGGGTGGGCTTAGCCCCGAAACCAGCTGGCTCAGGGGCGCTCCAGCGGCGAGCCCAGGCAGAAACCGCGCACAATCGCGGATTCCTGTCTGTCGCCGAAGCCCTTCAAACCGGAAGTCTCTTTCCACTGTTCTTAAGTGAATCGCTGCAGTTGTTCAGTTAGAAAAATGGTCAGCGAATCTGGCTTCCCTATTGACTTATTGCTGATCAGAAGGTCCTGATCCTGGGACACTGCAACCGTCATAAATATGAGCCAGTTGCCAAGCGCCTGAATTTTGATCAGGTGATTGCAATGGTCATCAGGGTGAAAAACGGTCATAAGTTGCTTTTTTCAGTGCCGTTGTAACCTTGACCCACCAACGGCCAGCAGAGCTGATGGCAGACTCGGACAGTGAGGAGGCTGGGGAGGGACATGGGCCAGTCCTGGAGTTTGGGGAAGGCTCTGATGAGGGCTCTGCGTCAGAGGCAGAGATGAGGCCAAGGCCGTCCGACAGTTATCAGCTGCCTTCAGAGTTGGAGATCAGTGGGGCAGAAGAACAGCTGGAGCCTGTTCCTGATGTGCGCATGCACAGAGCTGTCAGGAGAAGGGAACAGTTAAGGAAGAAGGATCAACTCGGGAGTAAAGGCAGAGGTGGACAGTGAATGGCCCCTCCCATAGGGAATAAAGAGGAGCGAAAGGGGAGTGGTGCTTGCAGGAGAAAATTAGTTCGTTTAATTAGTGTGAAGATTTGTTCGTGACTCTCAGAGACTCCTTGCCAAGTATTTCCTTGTACAGCGTTGCACTTGGAAGCTATCGGCCTGGCAACTCTCCAAGCCTGATAAGGTCTGTGGTTGTAATTCACCTTTGAAAGACTCTTTGCTGGGACTTTGCTGGATGTGAATGAGAGGAATTCACATATAAAAAGGGGTTTTGTTGGGACAAGGAGTCTGTTTCGTGATTTTTGTGAAGCCTAGGTCAGAAGAAACAGTCACTAAACGAACTATCATAAGTCAAAGACTACCTGCATTGGCTAGAATGATGGAGATTAAAATGTTGGTCTCATAGGTTGAGTCCACTTTTTATTTTGTCCTGGTAGGTGGAAAACTTACAACAGGAAAGTGCACACCTGAAGAAGCAAACCCAGAGAGTGAAGGAACAGTATCTTCAACAGAAGGTGAGTATGCGTGTGTTTTTCCCCCCAAATTTTCTCACTTTGGAGGAACTGGGAAAAATATTCAAGATTCATATTCAAGATTCACAGGGCTGCTTATTGGATCTCCAAAAGTGTTTTGGGCTTGCAAATTTCACACATCTTTACACCATCTTAAAGCCGTTGTATTTTCCCCGCCTGGGATCCCAACTGCCAGCTTGCTGTAAAACACAGAGTTTTTTGATATCCCATAATCTATATATATAAAAGCCAAAGACCACTCACGCATCATCACAAAATCTCCAGAACCGTAAAGCCTACAAACTTGTAAATTTGGCCCGTATGTTCCTCTTGGCTTCTAGGGGCTCGCTAAGAAAGGATTTTTCGAAACGACTATCAGAGCATTAGTATTATCTATATTATTATTACAACGCTCTGATGCTAAAGGGTTCTACTCCCCCTCCCCACCTGAAAAGAAATCTCTTCCAAATGCAGAGGAAAGGAGTTTCAGTTTCAGTTTCACAGCACCAAGCAGCTT